GACTATTGGAGTTTTACTGTATTTAAAAAACTGGGCTCAGCATGCTCAGCTACATATTCTTTTATATCTCCAGTGGTGACAGCATTGGCTGAGATTTCCAGGAGATTGCTCAGTGCTGAAAACATTTGAAAATTTTTGTTGTCAACTTGTAACTTCCAAAGTTCCAGGTTTTTACCAAAGGCTTTATTTTGTCATTGAGTTTGAGCAAGTTTCTTTCTTTTCCTTGAAGATTCAATTAATTTAAACATTTAGGAATATCTGCTGATTATGAAAGTGTCGACAACGTCACTTACATGCTTTTTCAGAGTAGAATCCACTTCAGTCAGAAACAAATACACCTTACCTCTCAGTTCAAACAGGCAAATGAGAACTAATCCCTGTGACAGCTACTGTCTGCAGTAATAAACACTGATGTGCCAGTCCCATTTCTTTTAAAAAGTCAAGAATTCAGCAGTTTTGCTTTAATAAAATTAACATTTGCTACAGCTTTATGCAAAATTGATTTTAAGATAGGGATTTGTTTTCCTATCAGCAAGAGCCTCCCAGGGGAATCATCCACTTGGCTTCTGGGGCTACTTCTTTAGTTCTGCCAACAAGCGCACTCTTGGAACTGGAAATAGGTTTTATGGCATCAGTGCAGATCTCTCCACAACTGTTCCAGTTAACTTGTCTCCTCCCATCATAAAAGCCTCAAGGAACTTACATATTTTCTCTCCCTTAGTATGTGTCAACAGTGCCTTGGAGAAGAGAAAGTCTTTACTGAGTTTTCTCCAAATGTTTCAAACATAGACCAGTAACGGTGCTGCCCCTGTAACACTAGTGGGGTCAACAATCTGTAAGAAAAACAATTTGCTCTTTATAATCCTTTCCACCACTTGCTTTCATAGGTCATTGGACATAACCTCAATATAGTGCAGGGGTGATGGATGGGGGGTGGGTAAAGGGGCATGTGTCCCCCCCAAAATCCATGAGTTTGTGAAGGACAAGGAGCAAGAGCCTCTGAATGGCCTGGGGGATTATTGGGGTCCTGGCACCTGCAGCAGGGGTATCCCCCTTCCAATTCTCACTGGCAGCAGCAGGGCGAAGCAGAGGAATGCAGCTGCACTCCCCGGGCTGCCAGCCACATCACTTGGGGCATGAGGTGGGACTGTCTCTCCCCTGCATTCACCAGCAGGAAGCAAAGTGACATGTCAGTAGCCAGGGGAGGAAAACGACCTAGGGCCACGTTGCTCTATTTCCCTCCACTGCCGCCGGTGCGTGCAGGGGAATCTGACTCCTGATGCCAGAGCCAGGCCTCATCTAGTCCCCCGGCTGCATCGCTCAGGGGAAGGGACTTGAGGGAAGAGGTAGAGCAGGAGTGGAGCAGAAGTGGGACAGTGAAGGAGCAGGGCAGGAAAGGGGGAGAAGAGACAGAGCAGGAAAAGGAAGTCAGGGAGGAGTCCTGTTGTGGAGGGAGCATAGTCCTGGCCCTCCCACAGGTGAGGGACAGTGTGGAGGGAAGTCATGTGTGGGGGGAGGGTCACATGGCCAGTTTCCCCCCTCCTCCCGTGACCTTTGCTTTGCACACAGCACTATTTGTGTCGTAGTGCACACCCCAGGCCAGCTCCCACTACAATTTAGGGTCATGTTCCATTTTGGAGTGTTCTGAGTCTGAGGGCTTTGGTACTGCCTCTTTTGTACTCCACTCCACGGGGGGAATAAAAAGTGGGGTAGTACTGGCCAAGACTAGGCTTTTCTTTGGCTTTTAATGATCTATATACCTTCCCCTTTAAACCTTCCCCCTCCTGACAGGGTGCTTGATCTTGTCTCGAGATAGGAATTGAGGCAGAAATACATTAAACTCCCACCAAAACCAGCAATATTTTAGCTCTATATCTTGTGTTTTGTCATTATGCTAACAAATCCATTTGGCTGGACAGAAGCATCATACAGTGTGTTTGTTCTTTCTTCACACGTTAGTAAGCATATAAGAATATCAAAAGTTAAACAAGCAAACAAAACCCACAGTTCTATCTCACACAGATACACAGGCCTGAATGCTATGTTACCATCACTAACTAGCCGAGCAACAGCGTTTGTGCCGATCATAATCTCACACATTTTTTTTTAATTGCAGGATGATTAAGAGACTCAGCAATGGTGTCAGGCTTCTTTGCTCTGGTGATTAAAAGTAAAGCAGCACAAGATGCCGCCAGAGTTTTGGCTGTCACAATAGCTGATTTATGTATAACTTTTTTTGTTGTTGAAGTTTATGAAGGTTTCTTTCAAAAATATCACAAGCATCTCCATGTGGTATTGTGCTTGGTTTGTAAATGTCACTGGATTGTTATTTGGTTTTAGACTGATACTGGGATCACTAAACAAAATAGACTAGGCGCTTGATTTGTCTTCTGAGCCAGTGTAAGTAAAGCCAAATAAGAACTTCAATATTTTCTGGGTATGGGTTTTTTTAACCCTGCATTTACAACTCCTGTTCCCCATCATTTTTTCAGCTCCTGGTCCCCTCTTCATGCCAAACACAATAAAATAATCCCTGGTTTTATTTCAATTAATTATTTCAGAAATTGTAATATTGTATATTATTTTTATTTTTGGCACCTATTTTTCCTGCTGTTAGAATGGGGGTCATCAGTCTTCAGATGCTACAGAAGTGGTAAGCCATGTTCCGTGACAATAAAGGCTTTGCTTGGGGAAGTGATTCAATCAGAATAGCCTTGTTGTCATGGAGTGCCCAGCTGTGAAGGCAGGTCAGTGTGGCTCTGCTGTCTGGGGGTGCTGAAGGATGTCCCCGCCCTCCCCTGCAAGCTACTGCAGAGAAGTAAGGGTGGCAATATCATGCCACCCTCATTTCTCCGCTGCTGCTGGCAGGTGCCATTGCCGGTACAGGTGGGCCTCTGGGCTGGAGCCACAGATCTCCCAACCCTGCTACAATAGCCTGGGAAGCCCCTTTGGAGTTGAGACGTTGAGAAATACTTGCTTGGAAGACATCAAACCATCATTGGCTGACTTGTACATAAATCAGGGGAAACTAAGTTTATTTATTTAATGAAAAATTGTTACATCTAGGAACTGCCTGGCTGTGTGCTTGGTATCTACATACCCATGAGATTTTGTTTTCCTTACTCATTATCCTCTCCTGTCCTTTCTCTCTCAAAGTTTGGTATGCTCATTTTTTGCATCTTTTTTTTTTTCAAATTAGATTGGTAACATTCTTGTTGCATTTATACTGTGCCCAGCACAACGGAATACTGATCCTGTTTTGGGCCCCTATCTGTTACTGCAATACATATAATAAATATTTCTTTTGAGAAAGAATGTAAAAATTCTTAACAAGGGTTTAGCATAATATATGTGCATTGACTTCTATTTTCTATCAGCTCTTTCATCTACATATACCCGTTTAAACATTTTAGTTGCAGTGCACACACATTTGCATGTTCTCTTTGACAAACTCATGAGCAATGTTCATTTCCCAGCTGCTTTAAAAAACGTAGCCTGAAGATCAAGACCTAGAAATGTAATGTTATACATGAGGTCTAGAATTGAATGTAAACTGCACTAAGTGCTGCTGGAGTTATGGAAATTTTAGGAAATACAAATGAAATAAGCAAGAGATATGAAATGGCCATATGACCCATTTCTTGCTTCAAGACAGATGTGTGAGATGTTCCCTTCATTCAGCAGCTCCAAGGGTGTTTCAGAAAGAATAACAGAGTTGGGATTTAACCTATGGATTATCTCTCTCAGAATATCAAAATAATAAAGTTTTATTCTTTGATCTAGACATTTAGGGAGCGTCTAGACTACATGGCTCTGTTGACGGAGCCATGTAAAGTAGTTTACTCGACATAGTCAATGAAGCGGAGATTTAAATAATCCCCTCTTCATTAAAATAAAAATGGCCACCGCGCTGTGCCGACAATCAACTGATCCCGTACAGCGCAGCAGTCTAGACGTGGCACGGTCAACATAAAAAGTTTGGGAACCCCTGCACTAGTGGATCTTTATAGAAATAAAGAAAGAACAGCACAGCATCTGGGCCATATTTAGCTGTGATGCAAATGATGGTGGTAAATTCCATAGAGGGAGGGGAGGCACATTATGATCTCACATTCCCTTGGTGTAAATATACTCCTGATATAAATGGACAGATTCTGAATTTACTCATATCATTGCAAATCCAACATAACCCCATTGAAGATTTCCATCCTTTTTAATGCAATGTTACCAACCAGAGTGGGATTGATCATTCCCATTGAAAGGCCAACTCAATTAGCCAGAATGGCTCTTGTTACTATCACAGGATGACAGGTCTTCTTCCCTGGCAGGGAAGACTAGTAAGGAAAATAGAGCATGATAGACTATTATGACCAGATCAAAAATAAATCAACTTTTTGTAAGGATATGTTACTACTGTTTCAAGTCATTGTTAAATTTAAGAAGACTGCACTGCTATGGTTCAATCAGTACATCCAGCAAATTCTAGGCACACAAACACTGTTAGCAAAACTACCCTATCCCAGGAAACCACCCTAGTTACAACAATCTTGCATCCAACTGAGTTGAAGGAGAGCCACTCCTACAGCCCACTCTCCACCCTAGGTTGCCCATTCATTGATATAAAGCTATGCTGATTTAAAGATGAAAATGTAGCTCAAGGTACTTTGCTTGTTCATATGGTTTTGGCTGCACAGACTATTTCATGTCTGGATGTATATGCTGTCAGTATAATTTCCATATCAACTGAAACCAATTTGACTCTCACTCCACTATTAAAATGGTTATAATCACGGTATGCCTCATCATCATGAATACTTCTGTAGTAACATAAATTGAAACTTACAACTTGACTGAGTTTTGTTACTGAGTCCATTAAAATAAAAAAACATATAAATTGACAGCATCTTGTATTGGGAAAGTTGCCACTGTCTTATTTTTGTGACTCTAAAATGGAAATAGAAATATTCTGAGTAGTAAATGAGAGGAGTGATGTAAATATGTCACAGAGTAACATTCGAAGTAAAATATATTTTTTCTACTTTCCAAATCATATAAATAATTCTGGGTATGTCTACACTACAAAGTTAATTCGAACTAACAGACATTAGTTCGAATTAACTTTAATAGGCACTACACGTACAAACCGCTAGTTCAAACTTAATTCAAACTAGCGGAGTGCTTAATTCGAACTAGGTAAACCTCATTCTACGAGGACTAACGCCTAATTCGAATTCAGTAGTTCGAATTAAGGGCTGTGTAGCCACTTAATTCGAACTAGTGGGAGGCTAGCCCTCCCCAGCTTGCCCTGGTGGCCACTCTGGGCACCACCAGGAAAACTTGTCTGCCCCGCTCCTGGCCCCGGAGCCCTTAAAGGACCACGGTCTGGCTACGGTGCCCGTGCCAGGTGCAAGCCTGCCAGCACCCAGCCAGCAGACCCTGCACCTGGCAAGGC